AGCATGGTTTTTGTGTAGGGGAGAGAAAGGCAAGGTTAAAGGTTGGGCACTAACCCGTAAGCTGAGGGTGGGGGTTGTTATGTTGGTTGGTCATGGCCTGTGTGGCCTTCTGGATCTGGCGTCATATCCCGGTGGCGGTTTTTTAAGAGAACAGATGAGAGGTTTCCAAGACTTGCTGAGACAAAACCCCCCCTCTCTGTTCATATTTCCTGGATGCAGTTCAATCTCAATTGCCTCCCTAACGGGAGGCTGACGGTGAGAAAGCAGAAGATGGAAGTGAAGATAAAACTGCAATGGGTCTTGTACAATAGGATGTACTGAAGTTAATTCTTGCACAAACAGGATCAGATCTTCACATCAATTAATGTCATGAATCGAAGGTTACTTTTTTTTCAGTAGCCTCAATAAATGGACATTTTCTGCTTGTAGTCCCAGTGGCATTGCTGGCATGCATGGAATATATCCAATTGAATGGGATTATGGGGGGAATCTACAAGTGGTCCAGTTCTACATAAAAAAATTCAGCTCATGTAAAATCTGTTATTGACTGTATTTTCATTCTCCCAAACTGAAAACTCTGTGGACTCATTATAATTAACCCAGTAATTTACATATCCAGGCAGATATTCGTTACTTGTGACAATCTAAGCATCTGTGGCAATGCTCGATTTTTGATACCAGTCCTGTGCTGGGCATTATCCAATATGTGAGGTGTATTTGCTGTACAGAGCATTTCAAGAGAAGGTGCCTCTCCTGTCTTCAGGTAATAGGTTGTCACACTGACACACTTTAATTGCCAGTTAAAAAGACGCTGGGAGTGAAATTAATTAGGATGCATCTCTTCTGGTAGCTGGATAAGGGTTGATGTATGTAATGTTACTAACATTAATTTCAGTTTAAACAGGCATTAATTCAATGAGCAATTGGTACTAGTTATCTGTGAACATCATAAACCTCTTCAGGATGTACATTCCATTGCAACTGCATTTGAGATATACTTCCTTGAACTCCCAAATCCTCTGTGCACGAATCAGCTCTACCACGCCTTTGTTGATGCATTTCAGCGCAGAAACTGCCACTTCCCCATTATAGGTATTTTTGAAGGGGGCATGATAATTTTGTACTCACTAGTACATTTGAATCTTAATATATATATAAAAAATGTGCCATCATGAACAAGTAGTTTACATAGCTGAACTCTGTTTATTGTATTGCACCCGTTAAATCAAATCCTTTATTGTGAATATTTTAAGAAACTGATTGTCAACAATTCATCTGATTGCCATCAGTTCATGTTAACAGTTTTGCAAACTATAATATTGGATTGTCACATTTCATCTTTAAATTCTTGTCAAAAACTTCCTTCTTTGGCTATGCTATACCTTTCAGTTGCTACTTCAGCAAGAATTAGGTGATTCTGCAAGACATGGAAATTTTAAGCAGAGGACGTTTTTCTTAAACTTTATGGTGTAGCGATCAATTTTTGAGTTTGAATGCAGTATTTATTGTGATTAGAATATACCATACTTTTGAAAGTGTATGCAATAAAATAATGTGTGGGGATTGTACTGCATTGATGTTGCTGAACCCAGGGGGCCCTAGAGCTGAATTGGCTCATGTAGCTAAACAGTGTCATACAACAGGCATGACCTCTCAAATCTTGTCATTGGGTGGTCCCCAAACATTTTGCGCTGCAGGGAACTTAAAGTGAACAGTTGCAGCACAGCTGGATATTTTGCACAAAGTTCCTCATCTGCTACACTGACAAGATCATTTTCAAGCTTCTTCCAACAAAAGCAACCTACCTGATTGATTGAGCTGTGAGCCATAACAATCCAGTCCTTGCACCATGATCATCAATGACTTATTGTGCTTCCCCTTTTGAGTAACCCTTTAATCCTACATATCAAATGAACCGTAGGACTTTGTTTATGAGGGAATCATACGTAGTAGTCACTTGGTTCCATAAAGAACTGACTGAGGTGATGAAATCTTAAATAAGCTATGGCCTCACAATCACATAAGATATGTGTGGCTGATTTGTCTTCTTCCATGCACCTTTCACAAGCAGCAGAGTAGTTGTGCCCCCCCTCCCAAGAGTGGACCAAAACAGACCCAGTTCCTGAAATGGTACATTATCTAGTTTTTTTGAACACCAGACAATAAACACAATCCAGAAACCCAGCATATTCTGAGTTATATGCAATACCAATTCTAAATTTTTGTGAATGAAGCTCAAGTCGAAAAAATTTTCTTCTTCTCCTTCAGTTAAGGTTCAGGCTTGTAGGTCATGTTAAGCGTCTCACTGTCATTCTGCCCATCTTCTTTCACATTTTATTTATTCCATGAAGTCTTTACAGTTATTTGTATATTCATCCATCCTGCATTGCCTTCTACAAGACAGCCCCTCTACTGCATCAGCTACACTAAGCAGCTGTTTTGCTGTGCACAGCATGTGTACACAATGTGATGTAAAATTTATATGCATTTAAAAGGTTCTGCACTAGCGGGATGTGACGTCTCAAAAATAACAACTTCCATTAACAATTACTAACTCAGGTTCCTGAAGTTACTTATGTAGCAGTAATTAACATAATCTAAAACTAAAAAACACATAATGAAAGAACACATTTCTTGGAAGATAAGCTTTGCTTCAGTCTGGTGGAAATACAGGGTTTGAAAAACTGAGTGGCTGGATGCAAGTCACTGCCCTCCTGTATACTGTACTACCCCAATTTATACAACAGGAAAAGCAATACTTACTGACCATCAGACACATTTGGTAATGTTCACAATTTCAGGAGCTAGGAACAGACATGATATGGAAGTCTCAGATATGCAGATAAATGTTTTCCATGCAGAATTCCTCTTAATATTTAAACCACCTGACAAAAACAGTATGCATTTTATGTAAAATATCTGCATGAAGATGATCCCAAGCCTTTTCAGTTTTTGTAAGTCACTCAAGGAAAATGCCACGATATTACCTTAATTAAGGCGCCACTTCCAACTTATCATTCCCTAATGACACTACAGTTTCTAGCTGTTTAGTCTGAATATCGATAGAGCTGCTGAACATATCACAAAATAAGACGTTTATTGTATTGGCATCGCAGGGTTATGGACCATCAAACCAAAGTGCAGTGGCGGGTTCCTTCAGCAGGATGGAGTCAATGACAAATGCCAGTTCCAGGCAATCAGTCTAGAAGTTCTAATGCCATATATTAACCAACTTCATATAGCTGCACCTTTCCAGAGAGGCTACTGATTGCTCTGCTTCCCAATGAATTACCAAAAAGTTATAGAATGCAAGGGCTCATTACCATTCACTGTCATGCTCACAGTTAGACACTGGCTCTCCTGAGCCAGATAATTTCATTCCATATATACTTATTTCAGCATACAGAACACACAGCATTAGCCTACCTTCACACTTTTCTGAGGACAACTGTAACTTGCAAATCGATTCATGCACTGCCCACTACTTCATATGATGAAGAATACACAACAAATGGAACACATATTCCAGGACCCTGGAGAAGGATCAGTTCAGGTGATGCAGCAACAGCCAACATGTGGTGACATACGAGGAAGAGCTCTGTTGATGCAAAGTTACTGAGGGAAGAATGTATGGTACATCTTATGCAAAATGAATGAAGCATTCCTTGGCAAGAAAAGTGTCAGTAATCAGAGATCACATGCTCAGAGTGACCAAGAATTAGCTTCGGTTACAGGGAAGTTCATTCAGGCAGTCAAGAAAGTGGGTATGGAGGGCAGCCCTAACTGCGCTGAATTTAACTACAATTGTGTCATTCCACTACATGAAACCTCTGAATTCCAATTAATAATATTATTGACAGTGCCTAATTTTATTAAAGAATTATATAATTACATTTAAACTTACTCCACAATTTTCAGTTGACTCTTTCCCTCTAAGGCAAAGGAGACCTAAAGCAAAACTCATTTCTTTTTTGATATCACAACAGACAAGTCGGGTTCTCTGCTGATATTTACAATGAAAAGATGTAAGCAAGCCTTTCATGATCCTTTCAATTAAATTCTCTGTATTACTTTATTTCTCCACAAGCAGAATCAACACATCTTTATTTAACTTTCTTTTTATAACCAATATACCAAGTATCCTGCAAAAAGATATCTTGTCTGCAATGCCCAATAGAGCATAGTTTCTATTCATCTGAAGAAACCGTAACAATTATCTCAATATACTCAATCCAAGTGATATATCAATCTGAAACTAACTGATCAACGAATTTACTCACATGTAATGACAGAAGAGCACAGACAACATATGGCAAAAAGCATATGATGCTGCTGAATTATGTGTACAAGGTGTGTCCCAAAAGTCATGAAATATATTTCTTTCCCGCGCTCCTACTGGTCGAAGCGCGCTGGAACCGGTTGGGTTACGGGGGGAGGAGGCCTTTAGCTTCACAGTGCACCCAAAGGTCAGTCTGCTCGAGCATCAGAGGCGTCAGTATCGCTTAATTAGTGCACGTGTTTTGTGACCACGTCACGGCGTGCGATGGCGGATACTTTCAAACAACGTTGGGCGGTCAAGTTCTGCACAAAGCTCAACAAAAAAGCTGCCGAAACTCATGAACTGCTTAAGCAAGCCTACGGGGAGTCTGCTCTATCATACGTGCAAGTTACAAGGTGGGTGAAAAAGTTTAAGGAGGGCCAGGAAGGAGCGGAAGATGACCCCCGCTCTGGACGGCCATCAACAAGCCAAACCGATGAAAATGTGACTCGTGTGCGTGATGTTGAATACTGACCATCGAATGACTGTCCGATTGTTAGCTGANTGTACCGATATCATCAATAAATTAAAATATATATATATATATTTCATGACTTTTGGGACAGACTTTGTATAATCTGTTGATCAGTTTCAGTGACTACACTCTACTAATCATTAGCTTCCACTGCTGAATTAACGTCATAACTGTAGGAGAATGTCATGTCATGTCATATTATGTATGTTTCCACTCATCAAGACAGGATATTGTGCACATTCAGCAATCAGAATCAAATGGAACTCATTTGCACAAATGTTTTGTACCATGGCACTCAGTTCATTTCCTGTCAGTTCAAACGGTTAGCAACAGCAATCAATTCCAATATATTGTAGCATTCTACAAAAATCCAGCACACCACACACAGCAAAACTGTCTTTCTTACAAAATGAAAAACTGTGGCATGCTACAAGTCACATACTGTTCCTTTAGTCTAAACACATCTCTACTGCTCTATGATTTACAGCACATCAACATGTAAGTGCTGATGTGTCTTCAGACTACTTTGCCGTCTGAATGACTTATTTACTACACACGTCACGTTTAATTCTATATATATATCACAAAATTAAAAACAATTCCATATTTGTTAAATTTGACAATTACAAGTGGGTTGTAAACTCTTGCCAAACAAGAAAACCTGGTGCTATAAGATTAAAACCTCATTCACTAAGTTAGAACTTTGGTAACATGTAAAACTTACACATTATACTACTATATACATAAAGTAAGCTTCCTGACCAAAGAGTATGTGATCAAAGTACTACATATCACGTAATTATGTTGATGGGTCAAATTCAAGAGTCATGTGTCAGCATCAAATTTTACACTTATACTTTTTCAGTTTTGACCACAGCCTCAAGCAGCGCTTCATTGAGCTTCTTTACAAGTTGTTCCATTTCATCTGCCCTTATCTTCAAATTTTCATTTTCTTGCTCAAGTTTTGCTGCTACTTCCTTCATCTCTCTCTCACGAGCTGTCCTATTTTGTCGGGATTTTCTTGAGGCCACATTATTTCTCTCTCTTCGCCTTCGATATTGGTCATATACAGGATCAACAGAAGGCATTCTTGACCTTTTGGATGATGGAGACCATGGCTCATCAGCTACAGAACCTGATGAATTTCTCCGCTGTGATCTGCTGCCTGAACTACTCTCCTTAGATGTTGATGGATATACCCGTTTTGGTGGATGTCCACATGTTGGTTTGGGCAATAACAGCTCTTCCAGTCCAGAAATACTCTCCCTTGGGAGCAGTTTCTGGAATGACACCACCTTCGTACTGCTGGCTGGTTCAGTTCTGGAGATCTTGAGTTTCAACACTGGACCATCCTGAGAGTCTATACTTTCCAATGAAGCATGTGCTTGTAATTCCTAGTTTATAACACACAACAGGATGCATACTATTAAGATAGCTACATATGTGTTAGGCAACTGTGCCTCATTTGAAGGCATGTTAACATGATTTCCTGCTTCCTGATAGAGCAATTCCCCTCAAAGGGTGAACTTCCACCCACAACAAATAATGTACACAAGAGTTAACGAGGACTGCTACAGTAAAGGTTCCCACACGTCTCTAAACTGAGAAGGTAACATGTCATCCATGAAATATTTTAAAAAGGAATCACAACCCCCCACCCTCCAATAATAATAATAATAATTAAAACCCCACATAGTTGAGAGTGCAGCGAGTGCTTTGCTTATGTATAACTGTCGAGACTGCATAATTTTGTACAGGGTCCGGCATGGAAACCCAACGATTTTGGCACTACTTTGGGTGATGGTGGTGTGGGAAGAGAGGGTTAACTGACCTTCAGCAGCTCAAAGTACTCAATTTCAGTGGACATGGAACAGTGGACCATGAAATATCATGCTTTTTGTTGTCGAGACATTTTTTAAAAATGGTGACTCTGTGACATTTCTGTGTGTGCTGTAACCTTTATCGGACGGGCCATTTAAATTCCGGTAGTGGCAGCGGGACGGAGTTAATTTAAATGCCCGCCATTTTAGAGTAATAAAAATTGTAATCATGTTACTCAAAATGCCGTGATTTCTACAATTTTTGTGATAAACGAACGAAATAAACGCTGCTTTTATCTAGAAAGAATACAGAATCAGATATTGTAATTTACAGATTTTAGAATCTGTAAAAATTGTTACACTGATTCCAAAAATTTTTTTTTCCCAATTTTAAGCGTCTGTCCACAAATATGCAGTCAGTTTCTGCAGTATAAATGCCTGCTGGTGACATCATTCATATTCATACTGCGTTATCTTAGCCAAAGGGAAAGAAATGTTTATGCTTATATAGCACTTCCAACCTTTCTGTATATACAGGAGTGAGGTCACATCCCTCAGAGGCTCTGTCTGTGTATACACGTATCTGCCACACAAGAAGCACTGTTAAGCTTCTTAGAAAGGCCCGCACTTGGCCCCTTGTTCTACATACTTTCAGTCTTGTGTACCACATATTTATCAGCTGCCTATTAACTTCGCCTTTTTCCATGCGAATTGGGGCCATGGTGGATAGTTGAAATTGCGATGTTTTATAAGCGTTATGATTAGAGAAGGCAGATCGGCAACATTGGCTGACTTCCTGCTAATACGAGACAGATGTTGCTATGTGCGCTTCATGTGGAAAACAGAGTTACACACCGACTAAGTGCATGAATTGCGACGTCGGACTTTGCATTCAGTTACATGAAAAATTCAGTTAGATGATGCAGGAGGGAAGACAGTCTACTTATAAAGCTGGTGTCCAAAAATAATGTAGAAAGCCCTGCACATGGCCCCTATCTTCTATGTGCTTTCAGTCTTATGTACCGCATTCTGAATGGTTTGATTTACGAGCGGCTTCTCTATTTCGACTGCTTCAATGTGAAAAGGGGCCATGGTGCATAGTTGAAATTGGGATGTTTTATAAGTGTTATGAATAGAGGAGACCACTCGCCATCACTGGCCTACTTCCTGCTAATACGAGACTAACATTGCGTGTGCGCGCTTCGCGTGGAAAACAGAGTTGATTACGGACAAAGTGCATGAATCGCGACGTCGGACTCTGCATTCAGTGACATGCAACATTCAGTTACATGATGCAGGAGGGAAGACAGTCTACTTATAAAGCTGGTGTCCAAAAATAGTGTAAGTAGAACAAGAATTTCTATCTTAAAATAAGATTTTAAAACACTATGCGCACGCGTGGATTGCGGGTACCCATACGGTGACGCACGGCCACATGGCTGTACTTTAAATGACGCCATATGGTGACATTAGTCTCTTAAAGGTTAATGTGGGTCAACATGGTAAAGTTCCAAGTAGGAACACGATTTTGTTGTGGATTGCAAACTTCATATCAACTGGCTCAGCCCTAAAGAAGAAATCGCCTGGAGGTGCATGAACTGTCCAAACACCTGAGAATGTTGAGACTGTTGGGTGGGCAGCAGTGACTAGTCCCTGTCCTTCTGCAAGGAAGCATGCCATTGCATTAGGCATTTCAACTTGGAGGGTGAGACGAATATTGCACCTAGATTTGCTCTTTCATCCATACAAGATGTGTGCAAGAGTTCCATCAATGTTTTTGGTTGAACTGTTTCAATTTTGCACAAAATATGCTTGAAACTGTGGCAGATGATGTGGTCTTTGGCATGAGTGGCAACACTTCCACTTATCTGGGCGTGTTAACGAACAGAACTTCCGTTATTGGTCACACTCAAATCCACGGAAGCTTCATGACCACCCTCTTCCCTCTGAACGTGTGACAGTCTGGTGCTGTGTGGGAAGCTTTGCTGTGAGAGGCCTGTATTTCTTTGTGGAAAATGGACATGCTGTAACAGTAAACTCTGGTCGCAATGTTCACATGCTGTATAATTTCCTAGCACCAGAAACTAACAAACGTGAAATTAATCTACAAACCATGTGGTTTCAACAAGATGGGGCCAAATGTCATACTGCAAGAACTTCCATGGCAATTGTGGAGAAATGTTTCCTGGGCATGTCATTTCTCAGCACAGTGATCTTCCATGGCCAGCTTGGTCACCTGACTTGAGTGTATGCAGTTATTTCCTTTGGGGTTACCTCAAAGTGAAGGTATTCATCAACAGACCACATACAGTTCATAAACTGAAAGCTGCTGTTGAACATAAAATCACAGCAATACCCACCAACATGGTAAGTCGCTCAATGAACAACTTCAAGATGAGGCTGCAGGAATGCGTATGAAGAGATGGTACGCATCTGCATGGCATAATTTTTAAGCCAAAATGAGATGCAAGTTATATGCATAAAATGGCATACATTTTTATATATTATGACAAATAAAATAAATAAAAATTGGCTCCAACTAATTTAGAATCCATCACGTTTCCCTGTCTGACAATGTATATATTCTCGTTTATGTTAGTGTTCCTATTTCTATGCAGATTTTGTGCAAAACATGATTGATATGTTATTTTCTGACAGCCTGAAAACATAATATGGTGTAATTAGCTATTTCTCTTTAGCTTCTGTTGGGTGAGGGGGTAATGTCACAAAATTTACTGTAAATTTTTCATACCTGTCCCTCAATTGAAAACATGTGCTTTGTGCTGGTGATGTGGTTGGTGTCTGGGGTGGTATTGGTAGGAGGATGTACAGTGTTTAGCACATAGTTCTGTGTTTTTTTCTTTTTTGGCGCTACAGACCCAATTTGCGCCTTGGCCTACTTCCAAGACATTCTCAGTTTCACTTCGGATTACCAGATCTGAGACATTTGGTAGTATTCCTTGGGCGGGTGATCAGCTCGCTGTACACAAACACAGAAAAACATGCATGCACGCACGCACACACCCACCAAATATCCATGCACTCAGCGGAATTCGAACCAACGATCCCAGCTTCTGAGTGAGTGAAGACAGTGCATGCCTTAGACCTCTTGGCTACCGTGACTGGCTCAGAGTATGTGTTACCTTGGGCAAGTACTATATGAGGTGTACTGGAAAGATCCCAGACTAGGGTAAAAAGAAATACTGGTTTAACTTAATTTGTCTGCCATCTCTTTCGAAACAGTCTCCTTGGGAACATATACATCATTCCCATCATTTATTCCACGCTTCAAGAGAGCCGTGGAAGTCATTTTCCTCAATGCTGTCTAGTACCACTTGTGATAGATGTCAGATACTGTTTCAAGACATCGTCCCTTCAGTTTCATTTTCAATTTGGGAAACAGCAAAATCACAGGGGGCTAAGTCCGGCGAGTAGGGGAGGTTGGGGAACGATAACCATGTTGTCAGTAACAAAATCTGTGGTTTTCAGGGATGTATGGGTGGGTCTGTTGTCGTGATGATGAAGCAATAAGGCGCATGTTCAAATTCTGTCCTCCTGGCAAACACCATAACTGATCTCAATGGTGTCTAGAAGCTCACGGATTGTTCGGCGACGGTCTTTGTGGATGAGTCCTCGAATTTTTCAACATTTTATCCTTTGCTGGTGCTCAGTCACCCTGGAAGTTTGTCATTTTCAACTGACACTTGCCCGGCCCTGAAATGTGAATGCCATTCAAAAACCACTGTCTAGCTTAAAGAATGTTCTCCAAAAGCCTCACAAGGCACTTCAAGGGTTTTGGCAGTGGATTTACAAAGCATCATGCAAAACTTGATACAGACACATTGCTTGATTTTGCCATCCATTGCAGACAAAACGAAACATGAAGTCAAAAACGCACTCTTCTAAAAACAATGCATAATCAGAGTGTGTTGTCTCGTGCCAGACTGATGCAATAGGCTTTCAGAAGTGTTAACTGTCATGTTCTTTCACCAAGGCAGTTACAATAATAACAGTCCAGGAACTATCCAATACCACCTCATACTGAATAAAGTTTTTTGTCTTCATTGTGTTTATCTTTGAGTAGATTTATTTTTATATTTGTACAGGGAGGTTCTTATGGTTATTGACTGGTTGACAGCTCTGTGCTTCAAGGCGACAAGCACACCTCCAACTGTCAGTCAAATTCGAATTTTTCCAATGACTGAGCATGCCTGATGGTCAATAATGTTTGGAATTAAGGGAAGTTATTAACTTTATCATGGCATTATGTTTCATGGCACTTAATGCGGTTCATACGTGTGAATGTGTTTATGATTTGTCAGCAGGGGGTGGCAGTTATTAACTCGATTAGTCATTTCTTCTGTTACAATTAGTGAGCACTGTGTTCTATCATGATGTGGTATACTTTAGAAAAATGTGTATTTCTGTATGACACTTATGTCAAATACAATTCTGCTTGTAAGTGCCGGTGAAAATTGCAAATATTCCTGCACAACAGCTTTAAGGATTAATCAGAACCTCTTCAGCTGGTGAAAGGAATATCTATGGTAGGGGCACAGCATTTTCAAAAACTTCTGTGACCTGTGAATTGTTTACTTCATTCCAAAACGTTTGTGTTACCTGCCTAACAGTGCACATACAGCTCACCTCAGGTTCAGCCTTTATTTCTGGAAATGTTATTGGGACAGGCACCTCTTCTTCTTCTGCATGTGAAACTGCCTTAGCTTTTATACTGATGGCCTGATTTGCATCATGAGGTGTTGGGTATGTCTCAGCATATGGACCGACTAAAACGTTCTCCGGACTTGTACGGTCCTGTAAAAACCATCACATCCTTCTCAGAAATGGATGCACAACACCAAACATTAAACAGCACATGCTCTCCCTGCTATGGCTGCGTCTCATTACATCTAGCTCATAACAGCTGTTTTGTACACATTTTCTTCTCTACAGCTATCAAGATCATTAGAAAGTATCTGGTTCATAGCTCAGTGCTCTTCCCAAGAAACTAATAATCACTGCAGCAGCACAGAAAATATCTGCTTCCTTTGGAACCTAAAAACATCATGAGGAGCTCCACAACTTGTAACCTACATTCACCAAGCATAATTAAAATGATCAAGTCAAGGAGGAGATGGGCAGCTCATATAGCAGGCATGGGGGAGAAGAGGAATGTATATAGAATTTGTTGAGAAAAGCCAGAAAGAAAGAGACCACTAGGAAGGCCTAGGCATAGAAGGGAAGATACTATTTAAGAAGAGACATAGGATGGGATGGTGTGGACTGGATTCATATGGATCAGGATAGGGACCTGTGACGGGTTTCTGCAAACACATTAATAAACTTTCAGGTTCTATACAATGTTGGGAAATTCTTCAGTGGCCAAGCAACAGGTATCTACTCAAAGTCTCACTCAGCTTCATGAAGTTATTTATGGTACCTATAGGCTCATATCTGTGGTCACATGCTCATCATGGCTCTATCCTAAGGCAAACAGACCCAGTACAAACACTTCCACATTATACATCTCAAACCAAAAACTACGTGGAAAGTGAAACATCAGACAGGAATTGCAAGAAGCCTAAAGAAACTCAAGGATGGAAAACTGTGCATACAAATCATCAAATCCAGACAATGAACCAACAACTAAACAAATCTAACCTTCAAGCATTTAAGGATAATGAAGATCAACCTATACCAACTGTAGTGAATGGTGTAATTTGGATGAATAATAATAAAAAAAATGATCAAAAGTATAATGAATGTACTGAAAACAGTATAAAGGAAAAGGAAAAATGTAAGAGACACAGAGTCCTGCTACTTGAGGACAGTCAAACGAGAGGTTGTGCACACTTACTAAAGCTGAATTTAAATAGTGAGTTCGATGTCAGCAGATTTGTGAAGCCAGGAGCAAAGTCAAGGGATATTCTAGGCACAAATATTGATAAAGACATGTCAAAGGATGATATTCTAGTAGTCTGTGCTAGATCCAATTACATCAGTAAAAATAATGCAAAGGAAGGATTAAAAAAAACGTAATTAATTTTATAAAAAGAACCAGTCACACCAACATCATGACTTGAGTTTGGGGGGCATCATTTATGTACAAGTTGAAAAGAGTAGGGGAAAGGACAGAACCTTGTGGCACCCCTGCTTGCATTTCCCTTGGCGTTGACATTTTGCCTTCAACCAAGACCCTGAATTTATGGTTAGAAAGAGAGGACCCAATAAGTTTGGTCAAACTGTTCGAGAATTCCAATTTTGATAACTTATACAGCAATCCTGAGTGCCACGTGGTATCAAAGGCTTTTTCGATGTCAAAGAACACTGCAGCCGTAAACATTTTATTGTTGAAATTAAGGGTCACGTGATCCGCCAGCCTCATACATTGCAATGTTGTGCTGTGACGTTCATGAAAAAAAAATGGCTTGTGTTGAGCAGGCCTCTTTCTTCAATATGTTTATGGAGGAATTTCAAGATTGCTTTTTTGAATAGTTTTCCTGTCATGAACAGGA